GTGCGGCTGAGCTGAGGGATCGTCTCATGCCGTTGGCAGCTGTAGTTCCATGCTTGGCTTCTCCTGCTGCTTTGGCCGTGGTATCGGTTGTGTTCAACTGCCCTTGTGCGTGCGGCCAAAATTCCCGTTCCTTTCGTAAGCGGGGCTTGTTGAGGCTTTTTATTTACATACTTTTGGGGCTTTAATTGTGCCTCTTCCCCATGTTCCTCTTAACAGTCCTGTTTTTTTGGTGGGGTCTGAACAGATGTTGCCCTTCTCTGGTGAGTAGTGTTTTGCCCCTTCCCTGCTCCATTCCCCCTAGCGTGGTGTTTAGCTTTTTGCATTGAAGCTGTTCCCTTTTCTGTTCATTCTTTTAGGGAATGTTGGTTTATCACCAGGTGAGAGCTCATGTTCCTTCACATCTCTCTGCACAGAAAGCTGTTTTCTTTCCTTTTCACGCACATGTCCCTGGCTGGGGGAAAGGCTGAGTAGGAGCTTTAACTCCTGCAGGCTTCATGCCTGAGGAGTGCTCTCCTGTGTGCTTCGCCTGTGTGTTTTGTCGTGTGATGAGCCTGTGTAACCACGTGCAGTAAGACTTCTTTAGAAGACAAGAGCTTGTGTAGTGAATCATGTCAGGTGGTGCTGAGCAGGGAGGTGCAGTTTGGCTTTATGGTGAATACAAAGGCATGTGTAAATGTCTAGGTGAGCCCATTGGGAAGGGATGGTAGTGTGACTGAAAGAACTATGGCAGGTTTCTTGTAATAGCTGTCATGCTCTAAGCTTTAGCTAAAAAGCTGAGGTGGCTTTTGTCTGTTATTGTAGAAAACGTGCTGTAGTATTAGAAAACTAACTTTTGTTGGAGGTGAAGGAGTTTTCCTGAAGGAGTGCTTGTAGGTAATGCCAGGGGAGGAGGCTGCCATCAGATAGCTGCATTGCTTCAGCTGTTACTGATCGCAGTGGGTTTGGAAGACGGAAAAAGTTCTTTCTGTCATGGCATGGGAAACAGTGTGAAGTGTAAGTGTTGAAACTTTCTGCAGATAAGTAAAGGCGGGGCGTGGGGCTCTGAAGTGCTCCAGTGACAAGTGTTCCTGTTGCCTGCTTCTGCAGTCTGGGGAGGGGCAACTGTGTGGGCATCCTGTTGAGCAGTGGTGGCTTTTGTTTGCACTAAAAGGTGCTCCTGTCCTACTTCAAATTACAGGAGTGGTATATCGAGGCTCAAGCTTGGTTCTCTTGCTGGCAGTGTTGTAGGTATCCATCGAGGGTACTGTTAGTATCTGTGATGTAATCTGTGTGCACAGCACTTATCAGTGTTAGCCTGCTTAAGTGATGCAAACCACAGATGGTACCAAATAGGTAGAATAGTTCAGCTTGAGAAGCTCTTCTTTATTTCTTTTTTTGCCATGAAAGTGGCCATCCACAGCTGGAGGAGGTACAAGTGCAGCATGGCCAAGCTTCTGAAGTCAGGCAATACAATATTGTATCTCAGCTCTCATTCCACCTACATGCAACCCGCGCTGGTGGAGAGTTGTTGTCAGCCTTCTATGAGTAGGAGGAACATGGCTATGCAGTGCTTTGCTGGCAATTAGCATGGAAAAGGAGTAACTTAAGGAGAAAGGTGTTGTAAGGCTGCTGGAGTACCAGGTCTGCTCCAGCAAGGAAGAAGGAGTTCTCTCTGGAGTAATAGGGTAGCATCCAGCATGAAGTTGGAGCTCTTTTCACCCACAGGGATCAAAAGGATGAGATGGTTGTTCCTGCTCTGGTAGCTTCCTCCTGGGATGAAGAGCTGGATATAATGACATGGGACTCTTCTGCTTGATAGCGGTGTTGTCTTCCAGAGCATGTGACTCCAAATAGTGTGTTAGTGCTTATCAAATGTCATAAACAGAATGGAAAGTCCAGATACTTAAATATGCCCTTGTTTCATACATAGTTGTTTTCATTGGCTGACTCAAATGAATAGATGTTATGTTTCTTTCAAGATAAGCTTTTAAGTACTACATTTTCTAAGCCACAGTGTGCAACTGTTCTGTGTGTGTGTCTCTCTCGAATAGCTAGTGGTGTAAAGATCTGCCTGTTAAATCCCATATGGGTTTTAACTCATGATTTGGAATTCCACCCCTCTTCTAGATATTGGTGCCATAACTTCTCAGTGCTGTCAGGAGGACTTTAGGAATATGTCTAGCACTCAGTTCCTGCTGTAATTCTCATGAATTAACTGGATTGTTAGAAGATAACTATTTCTTTACCTTTGTGGTGCTTCAGATTTTTTGGGGGACTGAATGATTTGCATGAAAGACCTAGAAGTTAGTGCTAATCCAGGAATTTGAAATACTGATGCTTTACTGAAGCTTGGCTGTGCCCAGTAAAGAACTGAAGATCTCATCTCCTTGTGCTTTGCAACTTTTACCTTGGATGCACTAATCCTGAACGGTGCAGGATTGCTGTATCCAGACTGGTGCGTTGACTTGCAAGTGTGTCAGCTTCCTGGGTCTGCTCTTTGTGGGCTGGGCAGCAGGCACAGACTACAGCATCCTTTGGTGTCAGCTGATCTGGAGTGTGGCTGATAACAGGAACAGCCAAGACTTTGTCCCCCTGCGTTGGGGTGAGCAGGTGAGGACGACTGACACAGCACACTTGGTACCACAGAAATCTAATTGCAGGCTACAGCATGAGGAGCCCAGACCTGTTCTTCCCCTTGTCTGATTAGTAGGTTCTGCTAGTGTGTAAAGGTGGTGGACACCAACTGGCTGTGGACATTCTGGGAGGTAATGTTTTATCCCATGAGGAAGGTCTCCAGTCAGACCCTGCTCTTCTGAAGTAAAGGGAAGAAAAGCCTGTGTTACCAGGGAAGAAGGGAGCAGTATCTTGCTGAAACCAGTGGTATCTTTCACCCTCAGTTCGTTACAAAGTGTCTGGATCGAGTGGCTCCATACTGGAGGTATTCTGTTCACCTTTAGTAAGTAGCAGTATGGTCTAGAAGTGAAGCATGCAACTGCAGCACTATGGCATGCAAAGTGAGCTGGGGAGGAGGAGCAGAGGAGGAGGCTCTCTGGAACATTAGCTGAAATGGATAAGCTGTTTCTGGAGTCATTGATGTCCCTCAAAAGCACTGTTTTTAAAGGCTTAACTTTAAAATACAGTTGCTCATTCCTATCTTTGATTCGTTTTCTGAAACACATCTGGCCTAAAGCTTAACGTAAAGTTTAGCAAGCAGCAGGTGGTTCCTCATGTGAATGTGGTGGCAGGCTAAGCAAGAACTGGAAGGATGCACTGTAGGTCTGAGTAGGGGGCAACTGGGTGTTTTGGAGGCCTTGTTCCTCCTCAGGGTGTTAATGCTGAAAGTAGTAGCATCAAAGTAACCTTGGTATGATCTAATTTGAAATTTTTCTGATTTGAGTGTGTATATGCATAGGTGAGGTAGCTAATGACTCTGTAAGAGGGAACATAACATGTAGGTGGTAAAACCCTTCCAAACTGACAAGGGGAGGAAAAAAACCCAATCTCTGGAAAAGGCTGTATGAGTGGTTCTTATCCTGTCTTGGGAGAGTTGGATTTCAGAATACTTGAACCTGGATGGCCTTTTTTAAGTGATATTGCAACTAAACTTCTACAAGCTGCTGTATTCAAGCATTATCCCTTCTGAACAAGTTAATACTTTGAACAAGGTTCTAGTGGAGTTTAATTTTAGAGCGAGTAGTCTGTTTCCTCTTGACTGGGAATGAAGTGAAAGGCTCTGAAGCAGCATCGATGGGATAGCTTGGGGGCAGGCTGCTGTACAAGCTGCCAGCCATGCCAGGAATGAAATGTTTCCTCAGCAGCACATGCTGATCAATCTGAAGTAGTATTAAACCCCTCTTTTAGAAATACAGAATCAAGAATACTGAATTGCAAATACTTGAAAGTACAACTTTACAGTTCAGTGTTAGTTGAAAGAAGACAGAACATCAAAGAAGCCAAGCCTTAGAGAAGTACTGTAGGTGAAAAGCAAAGCAAGCTGCCTTTTGCCTTGCTCAGCACATCTCACTGTCATTTTGGGTGTTCATTGTGATGGACTGACATGATGAGAATGAAGCTGGGTGTGCTGCATGGCTTTCATCTGAGATGCACATCTAGCTGATGCTTTCACTGACTTCTTCATCAAACTATTCTCCAGTATATGAATAACATGGTAGTGGTCAGCTCAAGGCTTTTAGCTATTTATTTTGTGAAGCATTAGAGTTAGCGCTAGCTGGGAAGCCAGAGCTTAGCTTGGGAAATTACTGTGTCACCTGTGGAATTAGCTTGAAGCTGGAATGAAATCAGGAATTTGGGGTTAGTCTCTGGCTCCTGAGGAAGAGCTGGGCTTTTGGGAGGGCAGTGAGGACAGGCCAGCACCTCACTGTGGTGTGTTCCCTACAATGAGAGCTGTAAGAGGGAGTGTTCAAATGTCTGAATCCAGTCAGTGTGGACAGCAAGGCAGGCTGCCACGGGCCTCTGACCTTCCAGAACATGGCCTAGAGACAGTGAAGAGCCATGTAGGAGAGACTTGGGTCCTGACACTTGAGCTTTGGTATTTAACTGTCTGCTGCCTCTCTGTTATGTATGTTGATCTTGAGCTGTGTGTTCCGTGCTCCCTTACATGTTCTTTTAGTCCAGTCACTCCTGTATTTTCTGCTGTGATGCTTCCCACAAGGTTGGACAGCGCTTCTCCACAGGCTCCTCTAGTGTGGTGGCTGGTGCATGCTGCTGGGGAGACTAAGTGGGAGCCTTCAGTGCAAGGAGAGCTAGAAAGCAATTTTGCTTCATGGGCAAGCACCTGAATGTCAGAGCTCTCATAGCACTGTCTTTTTTTTTATCTTCTGGCAAAGCTTTAAAATGAAGCTGTGATTGCATTTTCACTTGGCTACAGGAAGAATCAATCTACATGTGCTTTTCTGCCTGCAGGATTAGGTTCCTGGGCTGCTCAGCATTCCTGTTAGACCCTGAGAGGTGGAAGCAGGATTTAAGTACTCAGTTTCTTCAGCTGGGGCAGTTCTGTAGGATATCTTCAGCTGTTTTGTCTTGGTTTAATTTCAGATCCAAAGTTCTTTACTGTGACTATCTGTAGCAGATGTGCAGGATCTACCTTCTCAGGTTCTTACTGGGAAGAGTGCTGGGAAAGATTTGTTTCACTGTGATCTCAGCTTCCTACTTTTCAAGGAAACAACGTTGTCCAGGTAACTTACTACTGGTGTGTGCTTCTCATACTGTGAGTACACTATGCCCATGGATAAGACTTGTACCAAAGGCTCTCTTGTCTGTGGTCTTTCTTACCCTACTTTAGAAGTGTGGAAAGACTTCCCATCAGGAAAACCAGGTGAAAAGCTCTACATCATGCTTTAGCTGAGATTTCTGAAACAAAATAGCTTGGACTAGAGATCCTTGGCTTGAGTGTCTGGCTGTATGGTGAGGGCTCTTGTGGACATAAGGCCAGTAGTCTCTTTAAGTGTTTTGACTGTTCTGGTGCTCTACAAGGTTCAGTTCCTAGAACATATAGTGAGTATGGAGAGAAGTAATGCACTTCAAATTGAGTTTGTGGAGGAAGACTGCTGCATTGCCATGATTTTTAGTGTTTCTTTCCAATACCAGAGCTTTATGTGCTGCTATAGACATTATTTATAAAAACACTGGTAGGACAGTTTTCTGTTGCCCTTTTGTGGGCCTCATTTGCTTCTCCAACTCTGGGCCTGGAAACTAGGGCTATAATCAAAGCGTTAATTCTGTAGCATTACCTGGAAGGCCAAAGCTTCAGGAAGAAATAAAAATAGTTTCACTTTCCCTGTGCCTTTAAAGAAGGTTTTTGACTCCTGGATAGGCGGGGAACAGGCAGGATTTTGACAGAATGAGGCTGTTTTCTCTAGTGCTGCTTTCTCACTCCTGGAAGTGCCTGGAGGAGCTGCTTCCAGGCACCTGTGTGAGGAGAGGACAGGAAT